GCAGGCTAGTGACGATGCAGAACCGTTTAGCGATTCTACCAGCTGCGGATAGAATTGCGCGACGATTCACGCTTGGCCTTGGTTGCCAGGCTTGCTGTTCTGCTGTCTAGCCGTTTGGTAAACGAGAGGGCGGCCATCGCCTCGTCCTCCTCGCCAGCGCCTCAGCTTCTCTCCTCTGCTCTGCTCTACTCTGCTCTCCTCTCGAGAAGTACCCTGCTTTCGAGTTGGCCAGCGAGTTGCATTTTTTGCCGAACGCAACAGCAGTTTTCGCGATTACATCTGTAGGCAGCTGTCCGTCGGTGTACCGTCGATCGTTGAGCATGGAGACCTCGTTCGACAACGACGCGAATCTTGCTCTCTCGCTCGCCTCACGGACGACCGCATCGGCGATCACCTAATGAACTCGTTAGAGACTAGACATCGGCTAACTCCGACGTCCGAAACCACGACCATCGATTGTCGATGCCGATCGGATCGAGCGCCGCACTCGTCGTCGTCGTCGTCGTCGTCGAAAGTTTGCCCTTAATTAACGGGAAAAACGGGTCACTGCAAAGAATGACGAAAATCACATTTTTTGCACTTTCTTTAACAGAGTAAGTATATAACAAGACAACAGTCGAAAAGAGCTGAAATTGATCCGTTTGTGCCAATTAGCTGCCTGATGAGCGCAGACGTGGTTCTGAAAGACGGTCATCTTCACCGATTGAGGGTACAGCATGTACCGAATGCTCGACGGCACGTTTCCCTCTGAAGAGGGGCGCTTGTCAGGGAATGCAGGGTGAACATGCTTATCTTATACTCACCAGAGGTTGTGTCGGTAGATCACCGGACGACTTGAAAGAAAGAGTACGCATTTGAATTAGTCATTCACCGCTCATTCTTCCAATGCAAACAAATGAAGCAATTATGTAAGAGTCTGACCGCTAGTAGCCAGTTCTAGATATGGAAACGATCTGGATATGGTTATGGATATGGATATATTCGAAAAGATATCAAAGTGGGAGAGCGGTACCAACTGTCAGCTCCTTGAAAAAGAGGTTTCACAACGTTTGTCCGTCATAGGGAAATCGACGTTCGAACCTCTATGAATGTTTTCTCGCTGTTGGTGGCAAACCGGGGTATTAAGTGCTAACATGTCTGCTATGAGCCAATGGAAATCTATTCAAATACGCGTTTTTGGACAATTCATCCTCTGATTTTTACTTGATACGGTGCAGTCATTTAAACTACCTTAGTCTGGTTCCTCTGAAAACGACAGCAGCAACAAATAGCATCATTCTGTTCGAAAGCCTGACGCCATAATAAGTACGATTTGACTTCTCGTTTCAGTCTGAGCCGATCCAGGGGCGGCAGCAACGAATAAACTTTTGCCTTATGCTGTTTTGTCGGAACCTTTCCCTCGATTTTGTGTGGTGTCGACCGGCATCGCTTGTTAAAACTTGTCGAATGTTCTACTAAAGGACTTCCCGCATATTATGCTCTTGTGTAGTGAGATTTGTCACCGCTGGTCATCTCTGTCACATCGGTAACCATTCTGCGGCTCATGGCAAGTCGTTGGTGTACGAAGTGCGGCGGTTGCTTCGTGAAGAATCGCTCCTCGACTGTTGGGAGCGATGCAGGGCTGTAAATAACTAGTTGTCACCGCGTTAACTATAATCAGAAACGCAGTCATGAGTGAAGAACGAAAGATCAACCTCTTACGTATCGTTAATTTGTTGTCGTCATACTCGATTTTTCTAAAGCACTGTGCATAGTGATATCTGCTGCATGCTCCGTCTACGATGATAGGAATTTCTCCGTCTGTCGTCTTGCTCGTCGTACCTTTGCCGTTATTACGTTTCTTTACTCAGCTTTATGTGATTTGACTCCTTGCATTAATAGTCACATCGGATGGTTGGCTGTCAGATGATAGAAGTCCTAAAAAACACTCGCCCGTTTTGGTATGAGCACGTCAAAACACAACAGTGCTCGCCCTGCTGTTCGCAAGTCGAAGACTTGTTGTTGTTTCTCGGCTCTTTATACCGAAGTAACTTGAGACGAATTCCTTGCTCAGTGGAATTAGCAGTTAAGAAGGTTTTTGGAATTCGAACCTCGCAAATCCGTGTGAAAAGAAACCTCGTGACCCCTGAGCCGCTGCCTACCTTTTTGGACGACATGGTATTTTTTGGATACGTGCTACATTTTCAAGCATACCCGTCAAGCCCTCGTCAATGGCCAATAACCGTAAGCGACCGACGATCATGAGAAGATAGAGTTTCTGATTTGTGCGTTGGCAATCATGCTGCGAAATAGCATGAAAGCGATTTGCTTTATACAAGGTGGTCAGAGATAGACCTATGCCTACCCTTCCGCCCGTATCTTGCCGGCATCCGTCAAGGTAAAGATTTGTATATGATTCAAAGGTTGGTCTGGCCCTTTGCAGCTGATCGTCGGTTTGGCACCATGATCTGAACTACAGTAATGACACTTAAAGCTAGAGCAGGCCATGGCGACTGATCGTCAGACCATTCGTAAGCCAGGTCGCTGTCCAGAGAGATACGTGGAACGGTCGTTTCGTCTTCGATGCTGAATGTGCTTAAGGCTGGTCTAGCTGGAACGTAGTAGTCATAGATGTCGAAGTCGTTGCGCAACCGGTAGAGGGAGGATCCACGTGGTTCCCATGTTTATTTGCTGTGTGCAGTTCGTTGATGTTGGAAATGAGGAACTGTGAGGGACCTAGTCTACGTATACCTGGTTGGTTTCATCCACAGTCGTACCACAAGCATGGGTGAATCACGGTTCTTGTCGCGTGGTCGACAGTCGGTAGACTTTAATGTTTCTTTTTACGGTTAAACTAAGCCTTCCTGCTCGCTCATTTGAGAGCATGATTCCTCGTTTTCAAATTTGTCGTCTAGATTATTCCTCGCATCTGTAGATACCTTAAGGAACAATCTTTATTTAATAGGTCAAAGAGCCGACAGCGCGTGTTAGCACGGTTCTGACTCTATCTTTTTCTTGATCCCATGGAGAAATGTAGTACGTGATTCTATTTTAAACCTGCTCACTGTTTCTGTGGTTGTCGCGAATGACAGAGAATTGCCTTGCGGTTGAAGGTATCGGTATTTGAATATATGAAGTAGCAGGAATATTTATGCCATCTATGCAACACGTACGAATCACATATGCAGTAGAGATGCACACACTGTAATACAATATATGCAGTGTTACGCGGCAGATTGAGTATAACGTAGTACGTAATTGAAAGTTGAGAGCAATATGGACTTATTTCGTTAAAAAATGAATTACTGGCCAGATGTGGATGGGATTGGCAGAAGAGAAAATTTATGCAACACGGATTTATTATTAAAATACTACAGTCTGGTAAGCAATGATTGAGCGATATCATTTAATGACTTCGGATGGACCTGATTCGTTCGGTCGTGACCCGCCACATATGTTCCACATTATCTTCAATCTTGTCATTATCCTCATAATCACTTATGGTCGTTAGCATCACCGTTATCAATATAATAACC